CCACCTCCCCAACTGCACTCCCTAAACCCCCCCCCACATAAATTGTAAACCCCCCACCCCCGCCTAAATTGTAAAGTTCATTTTCAACATAGCGTCTTGTACATCTCATTGTTGCAATGGGTCAAACCGTATCCCTATTTAAACATTTTGTTTTTTTCCCTTCCCGTCCCCAAGTTAGAGAAGTGTATATACAAGATGCAGGGCACCCACATCAAATACAGTGAAAACAGGGTAAACAAAATGCCTGGAGGACGAGGGCTCCCGGAAGTGTCTCCAGCCTCACCTCCTCCACCTACACGGCCACGGCCTGAATCCTCCGGGTCTACACAACCAGGCCTCGACCACAACGGGCTCCCCTTGGCTCGCCGCAACCCGTCACTGCTGCGCATGGTGCTGGAGGCGCTGCAGGCGGGGGAGCGGCGGCGGGGCCCATATCCTGCCCAAGTACCCCACGGTGGACGCCACCCACTCAAGTACCTGCTGAAGCAGGCCCTGGACACGGGCATGCGCCGTGGGCTCCTCACCAGCCTGCCAGCTCCAAGGCCAAGGGAGCCACGGGCAGCTTTAAACTGGTCCCCAAGAGCAAGAAGAAGAGCTGGCCCAGGAAGACCCCGGACCCGACAGCCCCCCAGAAAGCCCGGGAGCCGCAGCGGGGCCCCGACAATGCGGGCCTCCGTCAAGGCAGCGGAGAAGCGGGGAGCAACCAGGACGGCTCCTCCTAAACCAGGGGTCGTGGCCAAGGAGAAGGCCCCCAAGAAAGTGAGATGGGGGTCAGTGGAGCAAAGCTGGGGGAGGCCACCAAGGCCCCCCTCCCCCGAAATCGGACAAGGCTGTTCGGGCCCCTCCCAGTGCCAACGGGCTCAGTGGAGAGATGAAGGTCGCAGGCAGTGTGCACGGTCAAGGAGCCGCTGAGGCTCACAGGAAGATCAAGGCCGAGGGGCGACTGGTCAGGCTGCCAGCCAGCAAGGTCCAGAATGGCACCGCTTCTCCCACCAATAGGAAGATGACGGCCTGGGCACCTACTGGGGCAGCCGCCCCCAGGGCTGGGGCGGGGCCTCCCGCGGGGAGCAAGCCCAAGGCCCAGTCCCCGCACAGGGCCAGGAAGCCCGGGCTGTCCACCAAAGCCGCCTCCTCCAAGGCATCCAGCAAGAAGGCGGAGGCCAGGAACTAGGGCTGGGCTGGCAAGAGATGGTGTTTCGTGTGATCTTTTATTCCCCAGCAAGCCATGGGTCTATTTAATTGTAACTTATTTATCAATAAAGAGTACCTTTTATTAAAAAAATTCTAAATTTGACTTGAACAATTGATAGAATATATGACCCCATATGTGTTGGATTTTACTATTTATGAAGCAAAAAAATGCAGCCCTATTGCTCTATTGTAAAGGTTTGGATGAATAGCATTCATGTGAAGTACTGAAATCTTTTGAGTTATGTATAGGTCAGAAGAAGAAAACCATTGCTTTTGTAATGACTTGTTCTTAGTAATGGTTCTGCAGTGTATCCTAGGGGTGTTTCACTAATGTGAAAAGTCATCTAGAGAGCAAGGAAATGGAGCTCAGTAGTGGAGCTTTTTTTTTTTTCTTTTTCCCCCTTTTTTTTGGTCAGTAGTGGGGCCTGAACTCTGGGCCTGGACACTGTCCCTCAGCTCTTCAGCTCAAGGCTAGTCTACTACTTGAGCCACAGCATCACTTCTGGCTTTTTCTGCTTCTGTGGTGCTGAGGAATCGAACCCAGGGCCTCATGCATGCAAGGCAAGCACTCTACCACTGAGCTGCCTTCCCAGCCCAGTAGCGGAAATTTATGAACATGAATGAGGCCCTATTTTTCATCTCCAGCCCATAAATTTAAAGTTCAGTTAAATTAAAAATAAAAAATAAAATAAGATAAATTGCCTACATTGTGTAGTTCAGTGGTAGATTCAGATCCTGCGTCCCAGATAGATAGATAGATAGATAGATAGATAGATAGATAGATAGATAGATAGATAGGTAGATAGATAGATAGATAGATAGATAGATAGATAGATAGATAGATAGATAGATAGATAGACAGATAGATAGAATAGATATTCTTCATCTGAGACACCGAAGATTCCAGGTGAAATCCTTTGAATTGTTTACTGAATCGTGTGAGAATTTTTTTTATGTGTAATGATAACGTGTCTTTCTGATTGCCTTTATCTTCACACATGAAGATATTGAGGTATAGAAACTTGCCCAAGATCTGGAGTGCATTCTCAAAGGGAGAGAAAGAACAAGAAGAAAAAGCAATTCAGACTGATTTTTTTAATTGTTCTAATGAAGAAGCTACAGTACAACCTTAGAGCTAGAAGGGTTCAAAGAATTCAGAAGCCTTGGCTTGAGTTGTCATATCAGGAATTTAACATCACAGAGCATTCCATCATTCAAAATACAGCCCTCTACCCTAATATAACAGAGAAGTATTTTTAAAGACATTTGAGATAGGGAGTGAACTTATTCAGGATTCTTCAGGAAGGAAGGCTGTGTCCTACTATTTTTTAAGTATAACTTTCGCTGACAAGATCAGGCCAGAGAAAGCCTCTCTGGCTCCTGGCCCAGCCAGGCAAGGTTAGAATTACTGAAGAGTACTTACCATGCACTGCCCCAGGACAGCACCATGGAGAGACAAGCACAAGTGTGTGCCGGGTGCTGCAGTCACTAGCCTTTGCTGTTCTTTCAACTGTTACAAAGGAAATTTCAAAATAGCCTTGAATTTGAGTCTTTCTGAAAGGTGAAAGGATGACTTCAACTTAAAATAATAATAATGAAGTTATTCACAGCTGCCTCCCCAGCAGCTAACATGGGGCCTGGCTCTTAGATGCTTAGGGGTTTTTTTTTTGTTGGTTGGCTGTTTTTTTGAAAGACTCAGTATAGCCTTGTCTTTTTACCTTTGTCATATTTCAGAAGAGTAGTTTTTGTTTCTCCATTGATGAGTATCATTTGGTATTAGAATAAATTAAAAAAGATTCATTGAATATTCAGAAACCCAGATTTTTGGAAGTAAAACACAAATAAGCATTTTAGAGGTGAGGAAGGAACTTACTGAAATCCAGGGATCATTGTGAAATATTTTGAAATTTTTTGCTCCAATAAGTTGGAAAATCTGTTGTTATACTTCTAGTAATAAAGTCTATGGTAGCTATTTATAGAATAAATTCCATATTTTTTTGTTTTCTTTTACCTAGAAGTAAGTTTATTTTTCCCTCACTATTGAAGGTTATTTCCAGTGGGAATAGAATTCTTGGGTGACATTTTTCTACTCTTAAACCCCTTAAAAATGATTTTCTAATGGCTCTGTTCTATATTGTTTTGACTTAAGAGTCATTGGTCACTCAGATCCTTGTTCTCTGTAGGGAGTCTGGCTGTTTTCAATTTTTTGGCAGTACTTGGGTTTGAACTCAGGATCTCACATTTTCTAGGCAGGTGCTCAACCATTTTGAGTAATACCAGCCAGCCCTTTTATACTGTATTTATTTTACAAATTTGATCTTGTTTCCCCTGGTTTTGCCTGGGTCTGACCTTGGATCTTGATCCTCCCAATTGCTGCCTTCTGGGTAGGTGGGATTATCAGAATGAGCCACTTCACCTGCTTGAGATTTCCTGTACTTGGGTTTCAGCACTTTGACCGTAAATCTAAGCATGGTTTTTATCCACCTGAAAATTCACTGAGATTCTTTTTTTTTTTTTTTTTTGGTCGGTCGTGGAGCCTGAACTCTGGGCCTGGGTGCTGTCCCTCAGCACTCTACCACTTGAGCCACAGCACCACTTCTGGCTTTTTTCTTTTTGTTTATGTGGTGCTGAGGAATTGAACCCAGGGCCTCATGCATGCAAGGCAAGCGCTCTACCACTGAGCCACCTTCCCAGCCCTTCACTGAGATTCTTAATTGTGTATATTTGTTTACCAATTCAGAAGGCTTTGGGGCCCTCGTTTGTACTCCATTTTCTTTTCCTTCTGGAATTTTAATTATACAAATCATAGTCTTTTCAATGTTATTCCACCAGAGTGATCTTTTGGATTTTGTTATTTTTTGTATGTTTTATTTTGTTTTCCTATCCTGGGGCTTGAACTCAGGGCCTGGGCACTGTCGCTAAGCTTCTTTTGCTCAAGGCTAGTGCTCTACCACTTGAGCCACAGTGCCACTTCTGGCATCCTCAGATCTCAGCCTCCTGAATAGCTAGGATTACAGGCATGAGCCACCAGTGCCTGGCTACACATATCTGTCTTACTTACGCTTTTTTCCTAGTTCTGATTTTCCCAAATAAGTAAGCTGAAATATTAGCTGCAATAAATTATTAGGAAAGTTCAGCTGACTAAATTCAGCTCTGGACATACTTCTTTGCTAATAGCTCACCTCACATTTTAAAGGTTACTACAGAAGGTAACAAAAAATATTTTTTGATAAATGTGAATTGTGTGTACATCTCCCTAAAACAGATAGTCGCTTTCTACTCACCTTACATTGCTGAGTAACAGAAATTCTCCATGGAATATTCATTTCTATTTGCAGGAATATTTCTAGACAGTGTTTGTGTCCTTGAACTAGATTCTAGACTCCAGCAGTTTGGGTGTTTTTTTTGTTTTGTTTTGTTTTTGCTAGTCCTGGGGCATGAACTGTGGGCCTGGGTGCTGTCCCTTAGTTTCTTTCTTTCTTTTTTTGTTCCCTTTCTTTTGCTCAAGGCTAGCTCTCTACCACTTGAGTTACAGTGCTACTTCCAGTGTTTTTTAAATAGATGATTTGAGATAAAAATCTATGGAGTTTCTGCCTGGGCTGGCTTCCAACTGTGATCCTTAGATCTCAGCCTCCTGTGTAGCTAGGATGATGAGGTGAGCCAATGGTACCTGTTTCATCTAGAAGTTACTTGATTTATTAACTGTACACAATAGTGGGTTAGGTTCTATCTATGATACTGAATGTCCCCCTCCTTGATACCTTTGATTCGGAATGTCAGTTCTCAACTTTGTTACTCTATCTGTCTAGGCTTTGATGCGGCCTGGAAGAATTGACACAATCATCTATGTGCCTCTACCAGATGGAGCAACAAGAAAGGAAATACTCACCTTGCAGTTTCGCTCAATGCCTATCAGTAATGAAGTGGACCTGGATGAACTTGTCCTCCAAACGGAAAAATACTCAGGAGCAGAGGTAAGAGCACCACCCTCACAGTACTAACAACATGCTTAGCATCCCCAAGGCTTGGGGCCCAGTCCTTAGTACCAGAAAAGCAAAATATAACCAAAAGCTAGCCCTACCAGGATAGTTCATAAGAAGTGGAACTGTATCTCAAGTGGCAGAGCACTAGCCTTGAGCCAAAAGCTCAGGGACAGCACCCAGGCCCAAGGACCAGCACCAAAACAAACAACAACAAAGCTAGTAAAAGATCCATCTTCCTTAACTGTAAAGATGTATTCACAGCAAGAACTGCAAGGCTTCTGGGAATATACCATGCTTTATCTTATGGCAGATACACATTTTTTTTCTCTACCTAGCAAATCTTTACTTCAGGTTTTTTGTTTTGTTTTGTTTTGTTTTGCCTACAAAGTAAAATTCCATTAAATGTACAGCTTTTTGGAATGCATTTTTTTTTTTTTTGTCGGTTGTGGGGCTTGAACTCTGGGCTTGGGTGCTGTCCCTGTGCTCTTCAGCTCTACCACTTGAGCCACAGTACCACTTCCGGTTTTCTAGTGGTTAATTGGAGATAAGAGTCTCACGGACTTTTCTGACCAGGCTTGCTTTGAACCGTGATCCTCAGATCTCAGCCTCCTCAGTAGCTAGGATTACAGGTGTGAGCCACTGGTGCCCGGCTCGGAATGTATTTCTTTGGTCGGACTTCCTACCTGCCTTCTCTCCCTCCTTCTCTTCCCCTTTTTCTCAGTGCTAGCACTCTAGCCACAGTGCCACTTCTGACTTTTTCTAAGTAGCTTATTAGAGATAAGAACTGCATGGAATTTCCTTCCCAGGATGGCTTTGAACCATTATCCCCAGATCTTAGCCTCTTTCTCCACCACCATTTTTAATTTCTTTGTTTTGTTTAAATAGTTTATGCAAGCATTAGAAGAACTGCTATTTCTTTTTTTTCTTTTTTTAATTTTGAAAATTGAAGCCATGGCGTGGTGGCTCACTTCTGTAATCCTAGCTACTCAGTAGGCTGAACCTGCTGATCATAGTTTGAAGCCATCCTGGGCTGGAAAGTCTATGAGACTCTTATCTCCAATTAAGCACCCAAAAAAACCAGAAGTAGAGCTATGGCTCAAATGCTGTGGTAGAGTGCTAGCCTTTAGCAAAAAAAGCTCAGGCGTAGCACACAGACCCTGAGTTCAACCCCCAAAAAAGCCACACACACACACACACACACACACACACAGAAAAAAGTTGAAAATTGATAAATAGTTAAGTTGATAAAACTTAGCTTTAGGTAAAATGTAAGACCTGTTTTTCCTCTTTCTTTCCATCTGAATGAAAATGGTACTTCAATATTTAAAAGCCAGGACTCATTTTTATATTTCTTAATAGTAAAATGAAATCCCAAAGTCCAGTTACCTTGTACACCTCACGACTTTATAAACTTTATAAGCGTATATAAACACACTACTTTATAAACTCTAATTTGTTTCCTTCCTAGACTTCAGGCTGTGTCCTTTAGTCAGAATACAAAAAATAAACGGGGAGAAAAAGGAAAATAGAATTTCAATTACACTTAAGAAAAATAGATTTCCAAATGTTTTGTCATATGAGGAGCTCCCCAATTAATTTTCAGTTAATTGCCTTCACAGGAAGTAGTATATTCTTCAAAAATAGATACAAATAATGTAAGAATAAGAATTTGGCCAGGTGAGCTGAGATGAGCACATTCCTGGCACTCAAATGGTTTTTTAGAAGCAAAATGTTGAAGTGTAATGAACATTTGTTTTTATTTTTAATTAAAAAGTTGCAAAAGATGATTAAGGTAGCAGTGATGTTACTTTTAATGACTGGGATTACAGGAAAGATACTTAGGAAAATATCTTCATTTCATCTAGTGATTCATTTGTTCAATGAACATTGTTCTATAAAAGAGCCCACAAACACTCAGCATACTTGATACCCGAAGTCTCTAGTGGCCTTCCCCAAGGAGGATATCCAAAGAAGAGAAGCAGTCTTGAAGCCCCAGATGTGTGGGAAAGGAAGTTCCTTGGCAGCCCAAAGGGGAAGAAGCCAAACGGGTCAGGCAGCATCTTTCAGCCCTTCTCTGCCTCCTGCCACTCATTCCCCTGTGGCCACCGCCATCATTGTCTTTGGCTTCCAGTCATAAATGGAAAACCCCATTGCCAGTTAAAAAGTAGATGGGAATTCGGCTCAAGAGGAAATAAGTCTTTTTTTGGTTATGGCTATTGTTTTCTTTTGCTTTGATTTTTATTTTTAAGCTATTTCTAGCAGATTCCACTTTATTCATTTGTCTTTTATCAACTTACGCTAGTTACTTTTAGAAAACTTTTCTCCAACAGGAAGCATAACCATGACAAATGTGCATACATGAAAGCCATAACTGGGCTCATTCCTCTGTCTGCCCTATGCTTGGGAAGGGAGGTGATGATTAAAATACATAATTTCCTCTGCTTAGGAATGTACTGACAGTTGAGTTTTTATTTGCATTTGGGTATTGTCTTCCTTTTAGTGATTATCTCATTAAGTGGAATTGGTAATGCACATGGTCCTCAGTTTAGGATGGTTTGACTTACAGTCTTTAACTTTCTGTCTGGTCAAGTTACAGATATTTAGTAGAAAACATAGTTTGGATTTTGATCTTTTCCCAGCCTGCAAGTAGCAACAAACTTCAGGTGGTCTCCCTTGAGGGGTTGAGCACTTGTGGAGCCATACACACCAATGGGAAACAACTGATATTCTCTGGTGTGCTGTGTTCTAAGCTTCTGTCCTCAGGAGGCAAGAAATGTTAAGTACATCTCCAACTTCAGATATTCTCAGTTTAGGATGAGTTTACTCAGTAGTAACCCCATCAGAACTCAGGGGCATCTATATCTCCCCAGGAGCCTGGGAATTCACTCTATATAAATAGATGGTTGATCAAAGCGTTTATATCAAAACTTGAACATTCACCTTCCAACCAAGGCAATCAAATGGATGAAGTGATTTGGTGTTATAGCTGCATAGCCTTTTTGTTTTTGTTTTTGTTTTTTTGGCCAAGCCTGGGACTTGAACCCCTCAGGGCCTGAGCACTGTCCCTAAGCTGCTTAATTTTTTTTCTTTTTTTTTTTGCCAGTCCTAGTGCTTGAACTTAGGGCCTGGACACTGTTCCTGAGCTTCTTTTAACTCAAGGCTAACACTCTACCACTTGAGCCATAGATAGCACCACTTTCAGTTTTTTCTGTTTATGCAGTACTGAAGAATTGAACCCAGGGCTTCATGAATGCTAGGCAAGTACTCTACCACTGAGCCACATTCCAAGCCATCCCTAAGCTTCTTTTGTTCAAGGCTAGCACTCTATCTACCACTTGAGCAACAGCGCCACTCTGGCCTTTTCTGTGTATGTGGTACTGAGGAATCAAATCCAGGACTTCATGCATGCTAGGCAAGCACTCTACCACTAAGCCACCTTCCCAGCCCTTGAACAGAGTTTTAATAGCATCCTGGCTCCTTTTTTTTTTTCTTCCAAGATGGCCTAAAAGTTATTTAACTTTTTTGAAACCTATTTTCTTTATTTCTAAAACCTTTTATGTGATAGAAATTGCTTTGAGGTTTAAAGGGGATAACAAATTTAAAAGCACCAAGAAACAAATTCTGACACATAAATAGCATTTCACAAAGGTGATTGCCTTTTACCCTTTCTGCTTAGCAGTTCAATATTTATTATGTCCGCCACTAAAATGTGTATTTTGTGTTCTAAGCCTTTTTGGGGTCTAATATTAAATAGCTAAGGTCTTCATGCCAGTTTGATGTTTTTTAAAAAATCACCTTTTGGTGTGCCTCATTAATTCAAGAAGTGTTCTGTTCATCATGCTTGAGCTGTTATAGCTAATAAAAGGAAAGCCCTAAATTACTTTTCTGTCTTGCTAATTAACGTTCCTTTTGACATCTTTTTTCTCTCCCACACAGTGAAAACAGGAAGAGCAATTATAGCCACTTAGAATGTCTGTGCTCTTCCTGCTTCTGAAGTCTCTTCTGACAGTATTCCCCAACTAAGAAATCAGAGCTATTGAATTAGAGTATGGGGTGGACCACTATTCTGACCAGGTTACCTAACGATACATCTTACTTGCTTACCAGTAGGACAGTATGCTCTGGTGTTGTCTCAAGCTCTCCATTCACTGCCTTTAGAGAGATTGGCAGCCCTGTATCTGTCTTCTGCAGTGTGAAGCAGGGCACTACGGCCCTGCACAGCCAGCCGCCTGCAGACTGCCTGGAGCACTCTGTGCCCACCTGAGAAGAAACTGTCCTGTGAAAACATGCCTCTAAAGCCAATTAGCCTTCTATTTTCTGTTGGAGATCATCTTTCTTTTTTGAGCCTTTATCCTAAAATTCTGCTTCTAACCCTGGAATTTCAAAATACTCTTATACAACCTACTGAAATTACTACTTAATGTCATCCAACCACCTTGACCACCACACCCAGAAGCAACTGTTCCTTTTGAGCCCCTTTATACATGCTTCCAAGGTAGTTGTTTAGCTCCTAAGGTAGTGTTCTTTTCAACTACTTTAATAGGAGTCAGCCTCGTCTCCTGAGAGATTCCCTAGGGCAGAGACTAGATTTTGCACTTCTTGGAACCCAGCAGCATAGTTGATGTCTCTCAGACTTATATCCATGTGGGATAAGTAAGTCTTTGTTGTAATAAGTAATATTTCATGTCATTTTACTAGCCAAAATACTGGCTTTAATAATACTTTAAGCTAAGTGTCACTGGCTCAGACCTGTAATAATGTCTACTCAGAAGGCTGAGATCTGGGATCATAGTTTGAAGCCATCCCAGGCAGAAAAAGTCCATCTCCAAGAATACTCAGCAAAAAGCTGAGCTGGAGGCATGGCTGTAGTGGTAGAGTAAAAGCAAGCTAAGTTAGCACAAGGCCCTGAATTTTTTCCTTCTCCTAAAAGACTTGATTATGATCAGCTGATGCTTCCGAGTCAATAGAAGAATCTTGGAAATAATTTTGTA